ATATATATATATATATATATATATATATATATATATATAAAGAAAAAACTCCTGTAAGCCTATAGGCTGATGGAATAGTACAAGCCCAACGGCCTAGATTCAATCTGGTCCGATCCAATGATCACGATCGTATTTCGTAATTGAATTTGAATTTTTTTTCTACAAATCTGAATCACTTAAAATTTGAAGCATTTATTTTAAAAAATAGTGGAATCTAATACAAATGTAAAAAATAATTTACATAAAATAAATTGACAAAAATACTCCTGAGGTTAAGCCCACTAGCTCATAGCTACATATCAGCCCAAAGGTCAGAAGGTCACGACCTCAAGTTGTATTTGAATTTGATTTTTTTTTTTTTAAAATCTAAATCACTTACAATTTTAGCCTTCCATTAATTAAAACTAGGAGAATTATCAAAACATAATTTACAAAAAATAAATGGATCAAAATACACCCGAAACATTTTCATGAGTACTTTGGTAAATTTATTTTTCTATAAATTATTTTTAAAATATTTTTATTAAGTGTGCCTTTATGAGAAGAATGGATACCAAAAATTGCAAATGATTTGATTTTTTAGAAAATAAAAATATTAAAATATCAATACGGAATGAGGTCGTGACCATCGGAACGACCTAGATTCAATTTGGGTTATTAGGCTCTTGTGTAGCTGTGAGCTTGTGGGCTAACTTCTGTCTTGCCTACATATATATCAAGAGAGAGAGAGAGAGCAAAAGGTTGTAGCTATAATTAATAGTAATATAGGTTGATTCCCAGTCATCTACTCTTGATCGGATTGTTGATAATACATATCACTATTTAAATTTTAATATTTTTTTTATAGATAAGATTTAGATAAAGTTTGGACATGTGTATTACAAAACACGGGGCACAATACAAAATATAAAAAGATATTCTCTAAAATTTAAAATGACTACAATACCCTTGAAAATTGATGCAGATAATTTGGTCGTCTTAAATTTTTAGAAATATGTTTCTATATTTTTATACAGTGTGCGATGGTGTCAAGTAGATACGCCTCAAATTTTAGCTTAAATTGATTTGTAAAAGAAATATTAAAAATCAAATAATGATATACATTTTCAACCATCCGATCAACATTTATAGGTGAGAGTAAACTAAAATTACTATTCATTATAGTGGCAATCGTTTGGCTGCTCTATCGTTTGTGTGTGTGTGTAGAAAAATTGTATATTAGATTCTGTAGAATTGAGGTGCATCTCAAAATTTATCAAAAATAGGTTGTTTTGATATTGGAATACACTCTATATGATCATCTTGATATCGAGATGTTTGAAAGAAAAAAAAAATCAAGAGAAAAAAAAAAAAAGTCCTAAAAATAGTGCATTTTACAACACATTATCTCGACCATCAATTTTCAAGATTTTCATATCCTTATAGATCAACTTGATTTAAACAATAATTGCAATTTAACATTTTATAACTAAAGATGAAAATAGATTTTTAGGTCATCTTAAAAAATTTTAACACTAAAGTTACATGATAAAAATTAGAGAGGTGTCTTACATTAATTTTTTATGATGGCTACCTTATACAAACCCACTTTATATCCATCAAAAATTTAATACTAGCCGTGCTCTCTCTATCCGAGTAGCAAGCATTGCCTACCTTTTATGCTTATTCTTTTTGGCGTTTATTATCTCGATGTGAATGCCGCATTATGATAAAGTACACTGGGTTATATGTAAATGTGGATTCTTTTACCCATTTCATTTACGGGGTTAAATAATGGTAGGAAAAATTACTAATAACCCCCAAGAATAGACAACTTATGCAACTTACCCTTAGTCAAACTTTTTTTTTTATTTTTTACCTCAAAATAGACCTTTCTAACAAATACCTTCCAAGTAAAAACAAGCACATTTTTTTGACAAAAATACCTTTTTTTAATGTATAAAAAAATTAGTTTTGGCCGAGCATTCACGTTGGCTTATGCACAGTCCGTGTTTGCAAAGTTAAACTGGAACGGTTAACCGAACATGGGTCTGGAAGCGGTTTAACCGGCCTAACCGGTAAACCGGCTGCTTCAACCGCTCTAACCGGGCAAGTCCCGGGCGGTAAAAAAATGTTGAAAAAAAAGGAAAAAATATATACAAAATATTATAAAATATGAAAAGCATATAAAGAATGATTAAAACAAAACACATTCAAATGAAGTTGAAAATTAATGAAAAAAATGGATTTTAACCCATTTTATATTTTCCAAGAGCTATTTTTAAAATTTTCTAAAAGAGATGGAAAAATATAACAGTGAGTATTGATTTCGAAAACAATTTTTAATATTTACCATAATGTAAATAATATTTAAAAAGACATTACAAATCAAATTCCTTATTTTTGAGAATTTATATATATTTTTTGATTTTTTTTTTTAAAATACCGGTTGATCACCAGAACCGCCCAAAACCGAAACCAACCACTGGCCGGTTCTTATCTAACCGGGCGGTTAGCAGTTAGATCGGGCGATTATGAGAACAATGCGTATAGTACCAAAAAGCTACGTGGACTGTCAGATAGCCACATACTAATTGTCGGACTTTGTTAAACTAAAAAAGGTTTCGGGCCGTTCTTTGACATTGCCGGGCGCCACACTTTAGACCTGGTGCTGGACCGCATGGACCTATTGTCGGACGACTCTTTGGTAGTGTCAGACTACATGGGCCCATTTTTAGACCGTTCTTTGTCAGTGCCGGACCGCTCTGGGATATTGCTAGACCGCTTGTTTATACTGCCGGACCGATTTTTTGTGTGTTATGAAAAAAGTTAAGCAGTCGGTGTTATAAGAGAGAGAGGGCATTTTGGTCCTAAAAACTATGACTTGATGGGGGGGTATTTGTTAGAAAAATTTGTTTTGGGGGTAAAAAAAAGAGAAAATATCCTATTATCCCCTATTTTTAACTTTTATATCTCATCAGGTCTAAGAATTGAAAATATTACTCGTAAACAAAAAGACTCCATCGTTTCTATCTTCGAACCCCTTAAACCCTTTTGACCATGTATTATTGACTCTCTCTCTCTTTAAAACTCCATATCTCTCTCACATCATCGTCTCTCTCTCTCAAAACTCTATCTCTCTCTAAAACCCAAACTTCATTTCTCTCTCACACATCATCGTCTCTCTTTCTCAAAACTCTATCTCTCTCTTTCTAAAACTCCTTCTTTCTCTAAAATCCAAACTCATCTCTATCTCACACATAAGAAGGTGGGCTCGTGTTCGAGTTCAAGCTAAACTTCCTGGCTGATAAACTCACCAAGAAGCGAAAAAAGAGAGATAGGGTTTGAATAGGTTGTCATTTTCAGGTTTGTTTGGGTAAAAAAGGTGCAGCGAGTAGTAAGATAGAAAAAGGGGAGCTGTAAGATAGAAAAAATGGAAATTTTTTTATTAGACTTAATATGTTCAATTATTGAGAAGTTAAAAATGGGGGATAAGAAGATATCTTTCCCTAAAAAAACATTAGTTGAGTAAGTTGTAAAGAAAGTTAGATCAAAGGCGGTTTTTGTAAATTTTCAATTCTACCAATTACATACGATGATGTACAGTCTACATGGTCTAGAAGCCGCCCAAAATGGAGCACCGAGCCGAAGTTGGTGCAGGAGGAGAAATGGGCATTGAATTTTTGGAATTTAAGGGAAGAAATGTCGTCACGGCAGCTTTAAATCCCATCACGTAGTTCGATGATACATGTTTTTGCAACTAGAAAATGATGGGATTCAGAGTGGGTGTGGAGGTGCGGATCGAAACAATAAATTATTATTCCTCACCGCCTTCCGTTTCTGTCCCTCTCCCGTTTCTATTTTTCTACCCCGTCTCTTTCTCTCCTCTATGTACACCGTCAACCTGTGCCTGTGCCTGTGCGTGTGCGGGTTCCGCAAGGGACAGTGGGGGATGTCACGGGTTCGCCTTGAAACTCCCCTCCCTCTCTTCTCTCTCTCCTGATGCCAGACAGACAGACAGACACATATTCTCACACCAGCAAACCGAGGAAAAAGACAACCACCAGAACCCCACACCCACGCCCCCTACTGCTCCTCCTGCCGCGTCTTTCTCATCACTCCTTCTAGTCCTTCTTCTCGTAACAGTCCCATTTCAAACACATAAACACACACACACTCTGTCTAGGCCTTCCGTTTGCAAGTTTGGCTTTGTCGCCAATCTATCTCAACTTTTTTCCATATTTCCTGTTCTCTCACTTAATGAGCTTTTTTCCATATTTTTCTCTCCTGTTTCCGTCCCTGTCTTCTAATTTCGGTTTGTATTCACTCTCTCTGTTTCCCTTCCTTTCTAGAATAAGTGGGATTTAGTTTGCGATGGATATTTTGGTGGAGAACTGTGAGGGGATAATGCTATCAGTTGAGTCACACAAGTCGGTTCCGGCCCCTTTCCTCACCAAGACCTACCAGCTCGTGGACGATCCTTCCACTGATCACATTGTCTCTTGGGGAGAAGACCACTCCACCTTCGTCGTATGGAGACCACCTGAGTTCGCACGCGACCTCCTCCCCAACTACTTCAAGCACAACAACTTCTCCAGCTTCGTCCGCCAACTCAACACCTATGTACTCTCCCTCTCCCTCTCTCTCTATATATCTGAGTAGCAACTAGCACTCTCCCTTACAATCCTGTTTCTAGTGAGAGAAAGTTCTTGTTCTTACTCATTACTACGTGAATAAGTATAGATCTCATTCTTTCTTCTTTTCACTGATTTTGTGCAGGGGTTTAGGAAGATAGTTCCAGATCGTTGGGAGTTTGCGAACGAGTACTTTAGAAAGGGAGAGAAGCAGCTTCTATGTGAGATCCACAGGCGAAAGACTCCTCACCACCCGCCACAGGCGTTGCTGCCCTTTGCCCCAAGATTAATGGCCCCGCCGTCGCCATTCATGGATTCGGATGATCGCGGCATGTGGTGCGACTCAACCTCGGAGTCGTCTTCTCCAAGCCCACCTTTGCTTAGCAACGGTGCAGGCACTGTCTCTGCACTCTCTGAAGACAATGAGAGGCTCAGGCGGAGCAACTCCATGCTTCTCTCCGAACTCGCTTACATGAGAAAGCTCTACAACGACATCATTTACTTTGTCCAGAACCACGTCGTCCCTGTTGCCCCTTCTAATGCCTCGTCATCTAGGCTCATTGAACCTAGCTCTTCGCTCACTCATGTGAATGCGAGGGCTGGGTTCACTTTACTGGGTTCGCACCGCTGCCACACGAATAACACTTGTAGCACCTCAGGGAGCTCGGTGACTGTGGTGGAGGAGAGTAAGCCAAGGCTGTTTGGGGTGCCCTTGCAAGCGAACAAGAGGCCGCACCCTGACCCCAGCCCAGATGACGTAGCCACCTGTGCCTCCACCACAGCGCCTCCACACAAGTGGGCTCGTGGCTTGGTCGAGACTGTGTCCGTGTTATCTAAGGAGGACGACTTGGCTTTGAATCTTAAGCCTCCTTCTGTTTCTTCTTCTTCTCCCACGCATCTGAAGCTCGATGCGCCAGCCTGAGGAGAAAGTCAGAAGCCAGTACACGAAAGTGGCTCTCTTCTTTTTTTTTTTTTTCTTTTTTTTGTTTCTTTTGCAGAGGGGGTGGATTGCTCATGGATTAGTCGCTGGTGCTTTGGTTCCTTTAGTGATCAATTTGCATTCGACCCATGCAAATTTATAAATATATATTTGACATTAACCTTATCACAAACCACTTGTTAGAAAGATGAGCAACCCACAAAGATGGAAAAAATTTGCAATGGGGGCAAAAGAAAGAAATCGAATTTGGAGAATGTAATGTATCATGGTGATGGTCATCATCTCATCTTCATTCAATGCTGTCGTGCCTAGAGACTGGGGAGAGAGCACCCACGTCAACAACAACCCATTATGGCTCCACAGTGGACGGGTCATCGGTGTTTGTATTTACAAGGATCGTCTTCATTCACAGAGGTTAGGACCGTTTCCAGCCCACCCTTTCAGGACATGTTTAAGCAGGACTAGCACCGGTTAGATAACCCTCTCTCTCTGCTAGAATAGTGGCTCGAGAGGCGCTTCTCTCTTTTTCTCTCTCTAGAAACAGGTTAATTTCTCTCTCGGACACCCAAAAACTCAATGCTGTTGATCTCTCTCGTCACTTTCTCTCTTCTCGCAGTTCTCACAGTCCTCTCACTCATTTGCTTCCTCACTCTCCCCCATCTTGTCTCTCTCTCTCTCTTAACTGTTGGATTTCCACCGGGTCGGGCCAGGGTTTCGGTGTTTCGAGAGGTAGGATATAAAGTGAAGAGGAAAGCGTTGGACTGCAAGGATCATCTCAAAATAATTTTGATTTCTTTTTTTTTTGGGTAATTCAAGAGAGAAGACACGTCTTTATCCGTTTTTTTAATAAATTAGGGAGTTGTATTTTAAAGGTATTTTAATTTATTTTTTTTGAGTAATTCAGTAGCAAGATAGGCACTACCCGTTTTCCCAATAAATTATTGAGGTACATTTTGAATGTGTTAATTAAACGTGTAAGAGGATTGAAATTCATTTGAAGGTGTTAATTAAAAGTGTAAGACGACGTGCAAACTGGGTAGAGGGATACTACCACGACTACCCATGGTCGTTTCTTTTGCCCGAATGCTTTGACTTTTTGTTAGGATGAGGGCATTGTCCACTTTGTCTTCTATGTGCATTGCATCACCGATCAACTCGCCCTCGCCCCTCTCGCCCACAACACCCCCCATCCCCCCCCCCCCCGCTCTCCCCAACCCCCACCGGAAAGCAATTGTATGCTTTTGTATAACTCAAAAGCTTTAATGCTCCTGCCGTAGCATACATATTCTACTACCTCTGGTAAAATTTGTATTACGAATTGTATTTTAGATTCTAAATTATAAGAATATAATATTGAGTACCCAGCGACCAACTTCAAGGAAAAAAATTCTAACTCAATCGCAACTTCAAGGAAAAAAATTCTAACTCAATCGCTGTGCTCTTAAAAAAATAACATCTCAAAATTGAACAAGAAATTTCAAATTTTTGGAGGGAGTAAATCTAGATATTCATGAACTTAAAAAATCGAGACCTTTTTCTATGAAACAATTTATCTAGTCATAATTAGATGGACTCAACAATTTTGGATAAAAAAAATGTCCCCGAGTAGCACGATTTGGTCCGAGGGAGTTGTTGTACAATATGCCCTCTTGTAGATATACAGATGCCCAAGGATATATATATATAAGGAAAAGTTTGACTGCACATTGGTTGAGAGTCTAGCGGGTCTCTTTTGAGTGAAAAGTATAGAACAAGATCGTTTATTTTTAGCTAATTATTATTGATCACTACATGTGAAATCCGGCCTCTAAGGATGTGCAATTGATTGAGAATAAAATTCAAAATATATTTTCACATAACACGAGACTATTGATATTGTCAAATTTCATATTTGATAGCTAAAGATATTGGTAAAAATGTTATGTATTTGCCAGGAGGGGGGGACATATTCTTACATTAAATCATCCATCTCAAAAATGGACATAAAATCATCCATCTCAAAGATGGACATAAATGGTGGTCCTTCTAAAAAAAATTTGGTTCGAATATTCCCTTAAAAAATTATTATTTTTAAAGATGCTAGATCCGTAAAAAATGACGCCCAATCTATTTCAAAAAAAAATTATTAAGCGGGGGCGTATTTCTACACATAAATTCGGGGACTCATATAAACCCAAAGATACTTGTGTCTCCTCTGCTAAAATCAGATGATCCTATAGTATACAATAGTGCACTTTTCAATAGAAAATGATAACGGGATAAGGGGAAAGAAAAAACAAAAGTCCATGGTCATTTAGGCGATTTAAGTATTTGCACCGTGATCCAACCAAAATGTGCAAATTGACTCTCTCTTAGAAGGATATAAGACGCCTAATGGGTTGGTACCTAAGCAAAAGCATAAGGATAAAGAATTGAGCGTTCGGTAGGAATATGTTTTAGGGTCCCATTTGGCTGCTCTTCTTTGTGAAGTATTTTGTAATTTATTTAGTAATTTTGGGTAATGTTGGGAATCAAAACTATCTTGATTACCCCTTGTTGTGACGAACCTTCACCGCAACAAATCTAACACTTCGAAACCAACTTGCCAATTATTGGCAAGTTAATTCCAAGAAATCCATGAATCGAATATATGGTGTAGTAAATTTGGTAATAATATGATGAAATCAAGAGAAAGTAAAATAGAAACTCTAATGGCACAAGCACATTTTACAAAGCGTAATCAAATCTGTTCACCCAAAGTGGGCTATATCCACGGGCAAGGGGTAGTGATGCATTCACTATAAAAGCAAAAAATGTACAATGGGAAAGAAATCTCAATTAGATATTTCCTACCACAATATCACCATCAATTGACTCCGCTCTTTGTCACCGTCGACCAAGACCGTTACTGCGAAGAAATGCCAATGAAAAACCAGCCTAATATGAGGCCACAATGGTGCTATGGTTCTTGTAAGAACCTTAATTTCTATTCCCCAATCTTATCTGCACTTTTCCTTTTGTTCTCTCTCTCGAAAATTCACTCATAGGCCTCCATAAAAAGCCATTCTTCTATGAAAAAAATACCCCTCATGAAGAGGGAATTACGTATGAGAGTGATTTTGTCATCACATCCCAACAATCTCCACCTTGATGCAAAATCACATATTTTCTTTGCCAACCATATTTGGTTGCTCCCTTTTTTAAGAACCTAGGGAACTTAGCCAATTCGTCAAGCTCTCTAGCCCAATAACCTCCATGAGCATGCCTTGCTCATCTTCCTTCATGCTTGTGTTTCTCATGCAAACTCCACCTTCTTCAACACTCCCATCTTTGAGTTCTTGAGGCCTTCTTGCCTTTATACATGCTTGAAGTGAATAGTTTTCTATGCACCTACAGGCATAACCGGGGCTTGATTTCATATCACCGAGATCCCTTGCATAAGTCTGTTATAGGGTATTTTTCACGCACTTGTATCCCAGGTACGAAAAAGGAAGGAGCCAGTTGTAACCTAGTCCTATGGGTACTAAAAAAGCGTGCAGACCATGAAAGTACTATAAAAATAAGCCTAGTTTTGGGTGAACTCGAAAATGTGTCGGATCAGCCTTAAAATGAATGAGAGGGTACTTTGGATACCGAAAAGACATACGCCAAGTTTCGTTGCAATCCGATAAGTTTAAAGCCAATCAAGATGAAACTTGATTCGAAATTCCAGTTTCTATCATGCTAAAAATGCACCTCATAACTAGAGCTTTATTACCGAGGCCTCTGACGGCTATCTGACCACCACCTATAGATCTTAAGTGTTAAGAAACCCCCAAACACCAATTTTCAGCTTATTTGGATTTTCTAGGACAATTCTCGACCTAACTTACCATAAATGTGTGAGTTTTACACTCCTCTAGTGAACCCTCGGTGAACCAGTTTCCATTTGTTGAAACTGTAACATTCAATTTTGGGATTATCTTAAGAAGACCATAACTTTCTCGTTTTAAGGCCAACTGACCTCAAATTTTGGTATGTTCAAGAGCTCGTCAAGCTGTTCATTTTGGTATATGGCACACCCCATGAAGATACCCGAGATGGGAGAATTTCTAGAGAGAACTTGGGTAACTCATGTGTTGCATAGTTTCAAAGAGAGGCATCTCATTAGTCAAGAGGTCATATATTGAAGCCTTGACATCGGATCGTCGCAAACATGGGTCAGTTGCAATTGTATTTCAGAGGGCCTCGTTTTGAGGTAAAATTTGAGCATGATTGGATAATGAAAGATAGCTAATTTCGAGTTTAAAGAAGGCAAGCTTTTTAGTCGCCGAAATTTCATTTTTTGGTCACCTCCCCAATTTGAAAATTGCTTAAATGGTGACCAAATTGGATGTTTTTTGTCGCAAAATGATTGTGATGGAGTTTCCTCAGATTTGTGATAAAAAAAGACTCAAGATGTGACAAATCATCCTACATCGATGCTTGAAAGTCAAAAGTTCACGAGTTTGGCCGGATTTTGTGATCGACCTCGAAACTTCAATTTAAGCTCAATAATGGACATCCAAAAGATCATGATGATACGAACAGCAGTTCTATGATATTTGATTATTCAAATTGTCATTGAAAAGATCCGAGAAAGCTCCTGAGGTGTGGCAATGGTATGAGGCCCTCCAAGAGGGATGATTGTGTCATTTTCCAATGTATTAAGGGGTAAAATGATCATTTTTGTCCAAAACAAGATTTTATCATTAATTCATTAAATGTGTATTTTTAAGCAATTTTGCTAAGTTTTGGGAATCCACCAATGTTTCAAGGGTGCCCTATATAAGTGATTGAGTCATTTTTGTAACCAAGTTTGGAAGATTAATCAAAACTCGAGCTATTGCCCTTCAAGCTCTTGCTTGTGGCTTACTTCCATTCAAGAGAAAAACATTTGGGAAGAGAGAGAATACCCTAGGTACCTCCAACTCCCAAACTCCAAACTCCCCCACTCCCTACTCCCTACTCCCTAGAACACACTAGACCAAATCCCTACTCCTTACTCCCTAGACCACCTTAGTTCATATTCCCTACTCCCTACTTCCAAGACTATTCTACACCAAGACTCTTCCATACTTTTTAGTTGCCCAAGCTAACCATACACCATACACTATACACCAAACTCCCTAATCACCTACACCATACAACTTAGTTACTACAACCCACTTGGGTTCACCTACACCCAAGCCTATACCCTACCCCTCCATCCCAAGGTTCAAGCCCTCCAAAGAGCATTTAAGGGACGACTATGGGTGCACCTAGCCATTGACTCGAGCCTAGGTACCTAGTCCACTCTCTCCTCTCTCTTATTTCTCTCTTCCCTCTCTTTTCTCTTTCACTCTTCTCTCTTTTTCTTTCTCTCTCCTCACTTTCTCTTCTCTCTCCCTTTTCTCTCTTCTCTCTCCCTTTTCTCTCTTCTCTCTCCCTTTTTTCTCTTCTCGTTCTCTCTTTTCTCTATCTTTGTAAACATCCCATTTTAAATCTGGCAAATTTTGTGGTTTTCCTGTACCTTTAGAACTACATTATCCTAGTAAACCCCCGAAACTATAGTCCACACTGCCTACCCAATGATCTAGAACCATTCTGCCTACCCTGTAACCCAGAATCCTGCATATACTCTATTTTCACCTAGATTCCTACAGACGCCATGTTTTATCAAAAAACTCACTAAAAATAGTAAAATAACTCTTTTTGACCAATCTTTTCTCTGAGAGCTTCATAACAGCTTGAACTACAAACCTGATTAAAGAAATTTTAGTTTCGAACACTTTTGGTTTGGGCGACACTGGATGAGTCGCTCAGCCCAGATTGGTGTCGCTCATCAGTGTGTGCGACGCCACCAGTGTAGCCCGGGCAACACCAATAGTGTAGCCCGAGCGACACCACTGGTGTCGCCCAACCCATTTTGACCTGAAATAGT